CCACTTGGCCAAATAAAAGAGTATAGCTTGAGAAAAATAAGATAACTGTTGTACACCTGGGTTCCAAGGTCTTTGTAGCTTCATCGACAGGTCTGTGCCTACCAAAATTTTTTCTATTCGCAGTAAGCGCCACCTGCTTTTTCACTTCTGTTCCTAGGCTTCTGGCTTGCATGTCAAATATAGAAGGAAGTCCCCAAGAAGAAGGTTAACCACTTTGTTGTACCCTAAAAACCACTACTGTAGACCTTTAGAACAGCAAACTATAGAACTTTGTCAACAGACGAATTCACCAAAATTTATTCTTGAGTAATAAGTGCTACCTGCTTTCTTTACTGTTACTCAGTGAGGCTTCTGGCTTGCATGTCGAATGTAGAAAGGAGTCCCTAGAGCTAGTTGACCTTTCTACAAACTATTCTAATAGTTTATACAACTCTCCAACAGACTTCTTATTTCTCCTTTTAGTTGGTAATTTTGGTCCAAGTGGTTATCGGAAAGAGTTGCTTTCATTTATAGTAACTATTAAAATAAAATTTAAAATATAAAAACATAATCTTTAACAAAATCTTAACTTTAGGGAGTAAATAGAATTTAAAATCACCTTATATTACCAGAATACCTTGATTTGTTCATAATGATTTCTCAATAGCTACTTGATAAATTTGGTAAAAATTTGTTTATTTTGATTCTATAGTTTGCAAAATTAAAATAAATAAGTATAGTATACTATAGGTACACAAAGTGATATGTTTTGTAATTTAGTAATTTAGTGTTTTAATGTTTTAGTGTTTTAGTATTCTAGTGTTTTAGTATTTTAGCATTCTAGTATTGTAATTTGGTAGATCTATATTAGTGTTGTCATTGGAAGACCACTGGAAGGCCACTAGAAGTTAATTCAATAGTGCCACTAGAACTTTAAGTTCCAGTGGCACTATTAATTTTCTTCCAGTAGCTTTCTAGTAATCTTCAAGTGACAACACTGATCTACATGGTGCATAAGTTACTTTCTTGATATACATATAAAATAAGAACTATAAATACATCAAAAAAGTAGTTTAATATATTTTCTAATAAGATAATAAACTAGTGTTTTAGTGTTTTAGTTAGTGCTACAAATTAAAAGTTGAAAAATTGATTAGTTGATCAAGTTGACAACTAATTAATTCTATTTTACCAAACCAACTTAATCAATTAGTCAATTAGTCGATTAGTCAATTAATTAATTAATTGATTAGTCGATTTGTCAACTAATCGATTGGTCGATTAATCACTAATCCAATCAATTAGTTAATTAATTATAATGTCATTATTATATATAAATAATATACATTTATTTACAAATCTTTTCTAATAGAAAAAAATTATTATCCCAGTATATACTTTGGATGCACAAAGTAACTAATCAATTAGTTAATCAATTGATTAGTTGATTAATTGACTAATTGATTGGTTAACTAATTGATTAATCAACTAATTAATTGGTCGATTAGTTGACTAATTGATTGGTCAACTAATCGATTAGTTAAAATAAAATTGATTAATCGCTTAGTTGGGTAAAATGAGTTGTCAACTAATCGATTAGAAAATTTTTGTCGATTTGCAGCACTAGTTTTAGTATTTTAGTATTTTAGTGTTTTAGAATTCTAGTATTGTAATTTGGTAGATCTACATAGTGCATAAGTTACCGTAGATTTCTGAAAATAAGCTACCCTTTTTTGGCCAAAAAGTTATACAAAAATCATGGAGGTAGCTTATTTTCAGGTAAAATTTTGAAAAGGTTGATTTTTATTATTTTTTCAAAATCCAGAAGTAGTTTCTATATATAAAAGTCAAAATTCTATTAAGTAAATCAATGAAAGTCACTTAATAGGGGTTGTTCAGAATGTAAAATACACATATTCTGAAAGTTTGAAGCAAATTGAAAAACTTTTTACTAAGATATTTTTGCATTTTACATTTGAATGTAAAATGCAAAAACATCTTAGTAAAAAGTTCTCTGATTTGCTTCAAACTTTCAGAATATGTATATTTTACATTCTGAACAACCCCTATTAAGTAACTTTCATTGATTTACTTAATAGAATTTTGACTTTTATATATAGAAACTACTTCTGGATTTTGAAAAATTATCAGAGGTAGCTTATTTTTGGAATAAAGATTTTTCTTATGTTTCTTCTCCAAGAAAAGAGGGGTAGCTTATTTTTGGAAGTAACTTATTTTCAGAAACCTATGATACTTTCTTGATATACATATCAAACAATAATATAAAAGCATCAAAAAAGTAGCTTTAACATATTTCTAATATAGTAATAAACCCAATTTGTGTTTTAGTACTGTATTTTAGTATTCTAGTATTCTAGTATTTTAGTGTTTTAGTATTCTAATATTTTAATGTTTTGGTGTTTGTGTTTATGTTCTAGTGTTTGTGTTCTAGTGTTCTAGCAGTGTTATACATGGGACAATTTTGGACATTTTTTCAAATTAAAATTACTCAAAATTTTATTAAGATAATCTATCTTAATTTTTTTACCAATGAGTCCAGCACCTAAAAAAATATATAATTATATATTTTTTTAAATTATTTTATTGATTAGTTAAAGATGGGACATAGGCTTGGACGATTTTGGACAATCTTGGATATTGGATATTTTATATAGTGTGGACACGTCCCATATACAACACTGTGTTCTAGTATTCTAGTGTTTTAGTATTTTAATATTTTAATGTTTAGCATTTTAGTGTTCTAATATATATAATATGTTAAAGCTACTTTTTTGATGCATTTAAAACACAAACACTAAAACACTAAAACAAATCGAGTTTATTACCATATTAGATAATATGTTTAAAGCTACCTTTTTGATATATTTATAGTTATTATTTTATATGTATATCAAGAACACAACTTATGCACCATGTATATCCATCATTAAAACACTAGAATGCTAAAACACTAGAACACTAAAACAAACACTAGAATGCTAAAACACTAGAACACTAAAAACACTAGAACACTAAACCACTAAACCACTAGAACACTAGAACACTAGAACACTAGAACACTAAAACACTAAAACAAAACATTAAAACACTAAAACACTAAAACACAAACATTAAAACACAAATCGGGTTTATTACCATATTAGGAAATATGTTAAAGCTACGTTTATGATGCATTTATAGATATTATTTTATATGTACAACAAGAAACTAACTTATGCACCATGTAGATCTCCAAATTACAACACTAAAATGCTAAAACTAAAACACAAGAACACAAACACTAAAACACTAAATCACAAAACATGTCACTTTATGTACCTATGGTACACCGTAAATGAGTTCGTCGGATTATGTCAGTGGTTATCGAAAATTTCGAAAAAACACAAATATCGAAAAAACAAAATCGGGTAAAATTATCCTTTTTTGAGCTTTAAATAAAGATTTCTCGACAACCAATTATTCAAATTTGATGAAAAAGGTTTATTTCGATTCCATGGATTCATAGAATTAAAATAAAAAAATTGGGACACTTGAAGAACAGTTAACCCAGTGATCGACGATCACATGATAAACATAACCCAAACCTAACCCTAAACTAGGCCGAACACTTGTCATGTGATGTTGTGATGATCGCTGGGTTAACTCTTCTTCAATCTACCCAAAAAAAATTTTATCGAACTTAGGTAGCTGTTGTCGAAAAATATTAAAAAAATTTGACTACAACTTCTTTTTTTAACCTTTGAACGAAGGTTACTCAGCACTTACCTGGTCAAATTCGGTCAATTTTTTTATATATAAATACTATGAGCTTATTGAATTAAAATAAAAAAAATTGATTAGGTAAGTGCTGAGTAATCTTCGTTCAATGGTTAGATGCCTATAAAATAAATTTTTTTTCGACAACCTGCAATCTAAATTCGATTAAATTTTTTTATTTTAATCCTATGAACTCATAGAATAAAATAAAATAAAAAATTCATTAAATTTACGCAGTTATTGCCGTGAAATCTTTGTTAAGAAAAAGAAATGTTGCAATGAATTTTTTATTTGAACTTTAATTGACGATTTCTCGACAACCAACTATCAGAATTTATTAAAAATTTTTATTTTATTTTAATTCTGTGAGTTCATAGAAGTAAAATAAAAAAATTTGTCGAATTTGGATAGCAGGTTGTAAAAAAATAAAATATTTATTAAAAGATAAAAAAAAAATTTGGCTGCAGCTTTTTTTTTAACAATGATTTCTCAATAGCCACTGAACCAAATTCAATAAACTCTTTTTTTTTAATTCTACAAAACCATAAATTAAAATAAAAAAATGTTTACTGAATTTGATCAAGTAGCTATTGAGAAATCATCGATAGAAGTTTTGAAAAGCTTTCGAATTTATTAATAGGATCTGCGTAACATCCATACTATACAATTATCATGGGGCATATTTGGTAACTGTTAAATGTAGTTTTAGATAGCAATTTTAAACTTCAATTATCTAAAAAATGAGAGAAGGCAGCGGCAAATATTCTAATCCGTCTTTAATTTCAACAGTCCGGTAAAAATAATTATCTGGGCTGCCGTCAATAGAAATCAGGCAGATCGACATTTTTAAAAAAATCTATACCTCAAATTTCACAGCTCATATATCGATGAATTTTGATGCGATTTTGATGATTAAATATTCAAAAGAAAGCTTAGAACTTACTCTTTCTTTTGAATATTAAATAATCAAGCTAGCTTCCAAATTCATCGAGATATGAGCTGTGAAAGTTGAGGTATGGATTTTTTTTAAAATGTTAATCTGCCTGATTTCTATTGACGGCAGCCCATCTATTTTTAAGAATTCTAAAAGCTAAAATAGCTTTATTAATTTTCTAAATAAAAATATCAATTATTAAATAAAAAGCAACTTAATACATGTTTAATGTATTTATAAAATCTCTAAAAATTAAGCTTTACAAAAACACATCCTATCTCTCTCCTATTGCCTGATTTGATACTAGTTCTTAGTATTGTAGAGAACTGAACACAGTTGGCTTTTGATAATAATAGCAAACACTTCTTTCACCACTGACAGCAAAATAATAGGATGTGCAATCAGGGCTTTCATAGCAAGATCTGCAACAGGCTTTTACAGAACTCACACCCCCAGTTACGTTTTATGAACCAATTATGATAGAACTAAAAGGACCCAAAATATTTTCAGAAGCATAAGTAGTAGTAGAAGCAGAAGCAGAAATAGGTGTAAAAATAGAAGTAGAAGTAGAAGTAGAAGTAGGAGTAGGAGTAGGAGTAGGAGTATAAGTAGAAGCAGAATTAGGAGTAGAAGTAAAAGTAGGAAGATAAGTAGAAATGGAAGTAGGAGCACACAATAATGTAGTAGGTGTGCAAGTTGTAATTGTCGTTTGTTCACATTTATCGCAATCATCAGGTACTTGTTCGGTACCAGGACAATCATATGACATGGGTGTCATAGTTGTGCAGTCTACAATGGATGTTACGACTTCAGTACTGATGCCAATGATGGTATATGTACTGGTAGGTTTGTGGTGATGTTTAGGTCTGGCATCGATAGTTCCAAGAAAAAGAATAACAATAACCAGGAAAAAATTAAATGGTCTATGCATGTTAGATGATTTAAGAAAATTAAGAACCATTTTTTATTCAGAAAATGCCTTCATTTTATATTTGACGTTCCATAATAAATAAATAAATCGATATACAATAAGTAAAACTCATACATATAAACTTTCACAATTTGAATGGTCATACTCATACTCAGTGCGTAAAATCTATTGTAAAATAATAAAAATTCCAGTATTACTATTTAGTAATCCCGTTTGTAAAATAATTTAATAGACTATTAACTATTATCGATCCTATATCGTCGTTCTCGATTAGTGGACAGATGAATTTTGTAAATTCGGCAATGATTAATTTCTGCGATAACTCACATTTTATTTTTTATGCAGAAGAATTATCGCAGAAATTAATCGCCGAAGAAAATCATCGTTCCTGCCTGCATATTATCATTGACTTCTCAATGATAATATGAACGATCCATGTGATTTACAAAATCCATTTGTCGCACTAATTTGAAAACAGAGATACTAATTTATATATACATTACATATGAGTGCAGACAAGGGAAAAGTGGGACATTGGTTTATCATTGAATATTTAAATAATCAATGATTAATTAATGTTCTATTTTCCCTTGTCTGCACTCGTGTAAAAATAATAAGTATTATTATTATGAGCATAGTGGGCTTTTACGTATGATTGTAGATCGCATCACAATGAAGCCTAATTAAAGTAACAAGACATTCGTCACGAGCTATGCGAAATATATATATTTTTTTGCATCAAATTTTAAATTGAATTTAAATTGGATAGTAAATGTTACAATTTTTTATGGTGTTGCATCGGTAACATGCTAGATTTAAACATTAAAAGTTGATTTTAAACACGCTTAAGTTTAAACAAATTTTAAATTTACTCAATCCGTTAAAGATTTTTGATCTAAAAATTAATTCTGAATCCACTTAATCCACTTGGCGCATATTCATTTTAAATTAAAAGCAATTTTACTTATGCATATATTCGAGTCATAAATTCTAGCTACACTATTGCTACAGACAACAGGAACGTTGTTGTTACACAACTGATTTACACACGGTGTGAAGCACATAAAAAAATTATTTTACAATACTTGATCGGACTTGATCAGTCAACTAGTACATGTTACGATTATAATCCAACATCATTTTTTAATAATAAAAAATGGTGTTGGATTATAATCATAACATGCACTAGTTGACTGATCAAGTCCGATCAAGTATTGTATAATAATTTTTTATGTGCTTCACACAGTGTGTAAAATCAGTCGTGTAACAACAACGTTCCACAACAGGAGGAAACGTTGATGTTACACAACTGAGTTTACACACGGTGTGAAACACATAAAAAAATTATTTTACAATGCTTGATCATACTTGATCAGTCCGCTAGTGCATGTTATGATTATAATCCAACACCATTTTTATTATAATAAAATGATGATGGATTATAATCATAACATTGTAAACACCGCGTGTAAACTCAGTTGTGTACATCAACGTTTCCTCCTGTTGCTACAGACATGATTATTAGGATGACAGCTATTTCTGCATAGCAACTTTACCTTTTTTACATTTGAAGGATTTTTTTTTTATATTTATCCTTAAAGCTACATGATATATTACTTATTTCTTGTACTGATTGTGCTTATGAAACTTTTAGCACTTATAACTTTTAAAGAATCTTAAAGGAGGAATTTAAATTGAATCGACTATTCATTAAGAAATCTACTTATTATGATTAGCTTTGCCGAAACTGGTTTAGGAAAACCTACTTCGCGTTGCATAAGTTGTGCTATTTTTTGTAGAAAATAATAGTATTGCTCAGAAACTTACGTACAATAAATTAATGTATATTAAATATGTTTTTAATTAAAGTTGAATTTAAATTGCATATATTTTTTCAGCTTAATAATGTACTTTGGTGGTTCAACAGTTGTATTTAATAAGTTTTGAAGAATTTAATACTGTAGCAAGATATTAATGGAATACTGACAAACGTAATAAAAGTTTGGTACTGTTTATAAAATAACTATGTATAGTTTTATTATTTTAATAATATAGATTTTATAAATGGTTAAAGAAAAGTTATAAATTAAATCTAGTTATTAAGACTCCAGACCCCAACAGTTCCAGTTTCCTAGTAAATACCGAAATCAAAAACTTATAGATCAATTTTTATCATTTGTCCCATAATTTATGAGAACTATTTTTGGATATTCGGATAACTACTTTAATGGATCCAATCTCTAATGGTATCGAAATACTATGAAACTCAGAGCTTGAATGAGGCTTCTTGGGTATTGATGGCTTCACTTTCACTTTTTCAAATTCTCCGGTTTTAGAATCGGTATCCAGCCATTCTGCAAATATTCTTTACAGTTCCTCTGCATTTTGTCTTTAGAGACGTCTTCATTCCAACAACGTTCTAATAATTTCTTGTATTCGAATAGAATACCAGTATATCCAATCGTTTTCCATTGCAAATGACTTGTATCAACAAGAATCTTGTTTGATATCAGCAAAGGGCGTCTGTCCAGTATCGAAAAACTATAAATGTCTGTTGCAGGTGTAGATTCAGAAAACTTCTGGTGCGATACATGGAATTATACCAAATATCTCATTTTTATTATTTGTTTGTGTTGGGCAACATAGACCTAGGTCGGCAATCACGTATGGGTTATCATATATTTTTTGTCGATAGTAATCTGTAGTTTTTTTCAGCAAACGGTTCTTTCCATAAAAGAATATTACCACTTTGCAATTCGCGTTATACTAGACCTGCATGATGAATTGATGTGAGTCCTTTAGCAATTGAAAAAAGATATCTAATTCTGGTCGCAAATCGGAGGCGAGAGGAAGCTTTTTTGAGGTGTTTACTAAGATTCATTTCTGCGAATTCAATCATTCATTTGTTGTAGGAAAGATGTTATATAGATTAAATATTGATTCTTTATAATATTTTACGTACATTCTTTTTTTTTGGAAAGTTACTTTTATTAATCAATAATATCAGTTATTTTCATTTCGCATAATTTACTACCTATAAAAAAATATCATTAAACAATGTTATAATATAGAATAATATAATTTATAATATATATATACATAAAAACTTTAATTACCATGATATTTATAACTACTATTAAGTGAAATAAGGCTGCTTTTATAATGTGAAACAATATATATTTGCATATATTCATTTTTTATATTTTGTAGTTTTTCATCAGATTCAGATAGTTCTAATAAAATATTTTCATTATTCTGCCATTCTACAAAAATATTATAAATTTCTTTTGCTGTTGGTCGTTTTTCTGGCTCCTTGTCCCAGCATTTCTTCATTAAATCCACATAACATAATGCTGTATTTTCGTAAATATGTGGTCGTAAACCCTTGCATACTTGTAATTGAAATTGTATTTCAGATTTTTGCTCAAAAGGAATAGGTCTACCATATAAAATTTCCCACATTATTATGCCAAATGAATAAATATCAGATTTTTTGGTATATAATCCTTGTTCTAAAACTTCAGGAGCAATGTATGGTAGTATTCCATAAATTCCATCAGTTTCTGCTTCTAATGCAATATTAGCTGTTATCGAAAGCCCTAAATCTGCAATGTATGCGCTCTTCAAGTTATCTTGTAGTATATTTCCGCTATGTAAATCCCGATTAATAAGATCATGAGAATGAATTATCAGAAGGTCAGATGCAATACATTGTAGCAGATTTAATTTATCTTTCCAATCCATTTTTGTAATGGTACGCAAATTTTTGCGCAAGCAACCTTCTGAAGCATAATCCATGATAAGGATATAATCTTTAGAAGCTTTATCTTTTGATATACCAAAACATTTTAAAAAAGTTGGATCTTTAAGACCGATTTGGCAATATGCCTTTAACTTGTTATTAAAAAATTTTAATATAAATTACAAATATTATACTGTAATAATTAATATATTTAATAAAGATTACCTCTATTATAAATTTATCATGATAATTGTTCGAAGCATGAAGTAATTTAAGTGCGACATTCCTGTCTAAACGTGGAAGTTTATCATGTAATCTAGCATAATATACAGTTGCAAATCCACCTTTACCTATCACCTTAATATCTTCAAGTTCAGCATAAGAAATCCATGATAATTGATGCTTATTATAATGCAATATTTTTTCAACTCATCTTCTATTTCAGAAATTTCTGAATTATGTATCCATTCGTTTGTAGCTAATGCTTATTTATAAAATTGTCACTTTTGATAAATAAATGAATAACAAAATACTTATAGTAAGTTAATTATGACAATACCTGTTGTTAAATCTTTTTTTTTCCTAAATGGTGATATAAAACAGCGTGTTTAAATTTATTAAATATATAAGCATATTTGATATATTAATTCGGTAGATTTATGAAATTTTGACCTTAATCCAAAATCTTGAAGATTTTTAAAAATGGACACTTATTTGAAAATCTTAATAATTTGACCTTATGTGCAAAATCCTAAATCTATTATAAAATAGATACTAGTAGGAAATTTTAATAAAGGTCAAATCTAAATCCACCGAATTGTAATGAAGTATTGTAATTCAAGGAGCTGTGGCGTAGCATTAGCTAGGTCTATACCAGAATCAGGTGCAATAATCTTTTTTTTTTTAAAAAAAGAAACCATTTATAACTCGAAATTTGTTTATGAAATTATATTAGTGTCCTGAAAATTTTTTAAAAGTTTATTTATACTCTATCTCTTTCTAAACCCATTTTAACTATAAAGCTGATAAAAATTGAGTTTAATTGCACCTGATTCTATAATTTAGTTGTACTGCGTTACAATATACAAAATAAATTTGATTAAATTATAATTTACCTTTGATACCAATATTTGGCTTTATTTAAATCTCTTGTTATTCCAATTCCATTTCGATAACATTCTGCGACTTTTGACATTCCCCAAGTATCTCCCATTTCTGCAGATATTTGGTAGTAAATGAATGCCTTATATTCATCCTTTTTAATTCCAATTCCATAATGATAACAATTCCCAACCATATTTGCACCGGTAGCGCTCCCATCTCTGCAGATTTTTGATAATAAATGAATGCCTTATTTTCATCTTTTTCGACTCCAATTCCATGAAAATAACAATGTCCAACAGAAAATATTCCAACAGTGTTACCCATTTTTTCAGATTTTTGAAAATAATTAAATGCTTTATGCTTATCCTTTTCAACACCAATTCCTTTCCAATAACAATATCCAACACAACATATGCCAGTAGTATCACTCATCTCTGCAGATTTTTGGCAATAAATGAATGCCTTGTGTTCATCCTTTTCAACCCATTTACCATAAAGATAACACATTGAAAGAATTGTTTGAACAATAGGATTGGTTTGATTATTTAAGCAAAAATTGATAATATTAACTGGATTTTGCTTCTTCTTTATTAAAAATCGGTCTAATATATCAAGAATTAAACGTGAACTTTTGCCTTTTAATCTTTCTTCATTAAACAGATTACACATTTCTTTAACAATTTCATTAAGAAAATCCTGCAAAACATCTTGTGACATATCTTCTAAATACGATTGGGTAATATTATCGATTGTTTGAGTAATATCTGATAAACTTTTGATTTTTTCAGGTTGCTCTACAAACAGATTGTTGTAAATTGTCATTGCAGACGCAAAAATATGTCAACTTCAAAGTTATTAATGACATATATTACATTGCATAGTATTTATTTATGTGTTATTACTGTTCGGGAGAGCGTGTTACTACGATGTCAGATAGTTATGGAGGGAAAAATATATGAAAAATAACAAGAGCGAAAACAATATACGTATTTGTGTAAATCACGAATATATATAGTAGCAATAAAAAAATAAATATAAATACACTGTTTAATTAAAAAGGATACGGGTAGAGAGGTAAAATTAAATAAATAAGAAAGGAAATAAATAAAAATAAAAATGAAATATTAATCCTATAAAACCCAAAAAGAATTCAGTAATAAGTGAGAGTCGAAATCTAAAGACTTTATTATAGTCGAGCGTTATTTATTCTTGATTTGGAAAGAAAACAAACATTTTTAGCAAATAATAAATCTACTTAACTTGTCGATTATACTAATAGTTAGGCATGTCCAAATGTTCGTTCTTAATTTGATACATCGTGAATGATGATTGACAAAATGATCCGGAATTAGATTCCATATGCAATAATAGATATAGATAAAATATAAATGAACGGTATAATATGAAGAATTTTTTATTTTAGTGCATATGCGTTGTGACGCACCTCATAAAATCTGGCGTAACGTGAAGTCAAAACAATAAATTCGTTAGTTTAGGGTTAGGGCAGAGCGTTTCAGTAAAAAGGTTCTAACCCAAAATTTTGGGAGGAATTTTTTTTGTTAGAATACGAAGGGAGTTTAATAAACAAAATTTTGAGCTACAAGCGATTTTTTTAGAAACATCGCTATTTTTTTCGATTTCACGTTACACCTGATCTTACAATCTGATTAATTGATCAGATGGGTGCGTTACAGCGCTAGGTGCGCTAAATTATATTTGTTGCCAAAAAAAAAGAGACTGCGGGAACTTCATTTAAATTAATTGCAAGCAGATCGAGTAATGCGTTTAGATAAAATCTTGCAAGAACTTGTTTTTTATATCATCACTGACTGTTTCTTTTTACAGTAGGAATTTAAAGTTTAAAAGATCAGAAGATAGGTGGATTTGGAACCGGTTTCTTTTTCATATATTAGAGCCATTAAATCGGTTTTAATAAATCTGGCTCCAAACACTGAATCACAATTAGGGTTAAATAAAACTCGAAAATATTATAAGTTTTCCTATTATAAACAGTTTTATTATGTGTTCTTTCTCAATTAACCTACATTAGAGTTAGTTTAAGGTCATGTTTAGGCCAGTCTGTTTATTTTTGGTAATAAATGTCATCATATGCTCATAATCATTGATTACTGGGTTAATCGTTCTTCGGTGCAGAAATTTTATGAGCAGACAGAGACAGTGCAAATTTACGTGATTCTATTAAAATAATATACTCCAACTATTACCCAACCTATTTCATGAATTTGACTGTTGTAGAATTGTTTGCTTAAAGTTTCCTCACCGAATTCACATGCACGTACAAGCCGCAGTTCTTCTGATTTCGGGTTTGTGCCAGTAATACAAAATTTAATTTTGCAAATAAATTTAAGCGTGTAAAGAGAAGTTTAGGTTAAAACGTTGATACTGGATGCAATAGTACTAAGGGAAGTGTCATTTATCATCTGATTTTTTGTAAATAGTAAAATTTCCCCCTCCCTAAAATGATTACGATCATGTATAAAAGTATACATGTGATCTATTAGCTTGATATTTTGGCACCCACCCTGCTAAAAAATCAGATGATAAATGACACTTCCCTAGCTGTCACTCAGTATATGTAAATTTCATTCTCGTAATTTTTAATTAATGCACAATAATATATTTACACACCAGTTTTTGATTATTTTCGCTTTCTTTTCATAGGCACGTGTTCGGAATTCGTGCAGGGCTGTTTTGGAAATCAAATTTGCTGTTTCCTTTTTAGTAGTTGAATTAAACCCATTTATAGATTTCCCGACGATTAATTAATTTTGCTGCATTTTTTGAAATTATCAAATTATTAAATACAGTAACAATGCCGTTAGGGTAGTAAATCTATCTATTCTAAATACCAAATTCAGAGTTCGTACATTTTTACTAATTTGATTAATTATTTGTGATTCGTATGTATGTTTTAACAATTTTCGTTGATTTATTTTGGCTAATTTGATTGGTTTTTCGTGGTTCTTACGGTTGCATTTACTAATTTCCCCCCAGGTTTTCTATTGGTCGTCAGT